CACCAGAGGACTCACACAGGAGAGAAACCCTTTGAATGTCCTGATTGCGGGAAAAGTTTCTGTAATAATTCCAGCCTGGTGATACACCAGAGGACTCACACAGGAAAGAAACCCTTTGAATGTCCTGATTGTGGTAAAGGTTTCAGTTGGCATTCCAGCCTGGTGATACACCAAAGGACTCACACAGGAGAGAAACCCTTTGAGTGTCCTGATTGCGGGAAAAGTTTCAGGCAGAGTTCCCACCTGGTGACACACCAGAGGACTCACACAGGAGAGAAACCCATAGAATGTCCTGATTGTGGGAAAAATTTCTGTGATAATTCTAGCCTGGTGATCCACCAAAGGACTCATACAGGAGAGAAGCCCTTTGAATGTCCTGATTGCGGGAAAAGTTTCCGTAACAGTTCCAACCTGGTGACACACCAGAGGAGTCACACAGGAGAGAAACCCTTTGAATGTCCTGATTGTGTGAAAAGTTTCAGCTTTCATTCCAGCCTGGTGATACACCAAAGGACTCACACAGGAGAGAAACCCTTTGAGTGTCCTGATTGCGGGAAAAGTTTCAGTCACAGTTCCAGCCTAGTGACACACCAGAGGACTCACTCAGGAGAGAAACCCTTTGAATGTCCTGATTGCGGGAAAAGTTTCCGTCAGAGTTCCAACCTGGTGACACACCAGAGGACTCACACAGGAGAGAAACCCTTTGAATGTCCTGATTGTGCGAAAAGTTTCAGTTTTCATTCCAGCCTGTTGAAACACCAGGGGACTCACACAGGAAAGAAACCCTTTGGGTGTCCTGATTGCGGGAAAAGTTTCTGTGATAATTCCAGCCTGGTGGTACACCAGAGGACGCACACAGGGGAGAAGCCCTTTGAATGTCCTGATTGTGGGAAAAGTTTCCGTCACAGTTCCAACCTAGTGACACACCAGAGGAGTCACACAGGAGAGAAACCCTTTGAATGTCCTGATTGTGGGAAATGTTTCTGTGATAATTCCAGTCTGGTGAGACACCAGAGAACTCACACAGGAGAGAAGCCCTTTGAATGTCCTGATTGCGGGAAAAGTTTCAGTTTACATTCCAACCTGGTGAGACACCAGAGGACTCACACAGGAGAGAAACTCTTTGAATGTCCTGATTGCGGGAAAACTTTCAGTGATAATTCCAACCTGGTGACACACCAGAGGACCCACACAGGAAAGAAACGCTGAATGTCCTGATTGCGGTAAATGAAGAAGACCTATAGGAAGATTGAGTTGAGGAGAAAAGGGATTATGGTTTTGACCACAGGATTTCCAGGTTTATTTGTAATTCCTGCTGTGATCTTTTTTGCTTGGAGTTGCCTCCTTGTTGCCCTTTGAGAGCTGGGGCCTGAGAGCAGCATCAATGGACTGATAATTGTGTGGTTCTCCCCCCCACTTTGGTAGGGAGATGTGAGGGGAAAAATTGTATGGTAGATAATGTTTAATTTCTAAAACAGCATTGCGTAAGAATCTTGAATAGCTTTTGAAAAAGACAAATAAAGTGAAGTGTCAGAATTTCTGTAAACAGAACATGTTTCCTGTTCTTTCACTTGTCCCTCGGGGCTCCTTAATGTTATTTTCAAAAAATTACCCGTCAAATATAGGGAGGAACATTTTTTTGTAGCAGCGAAACTAATATTTTAGCTAGTTAGATGAATGATCCTGATTTTTCTGAGATTGGAAGACACCAAAAAATTCCAAGATTTGTTGCCCTAACACCATTCAGAAAGACAGGTTATAATTTTTTTTAGTAGCTCTCATTACATGAAGGACATCCAACAACCAGGACCGGGCCTGATGTGTGGAGAACCCAGGAGGCTCTTGGCCTGAGTCTTAAGTCCAACTTCTTTCGAATTTAAACGTGTGCAAAATTTGTAAAATTTAAAATAGTAAAAATATATTTAATCCATTTTGCCTTTTTCCTTGATGTCACATTTTAGTGCACCATCTTTATCGTATCTCATCTTATTATATTTAGTAGTTGGAAATGCTTGCAATGATCCCAAAGCCTCTGAATCTCTCAAAGGGCTATATAAAGATATCAAGCAACATTAAATAAAGGCAACTGTTGGAAGAAATATACAAGTCCAGTTCCAAACCGGGAGAAAGGCACTGGAGACAAAATGGAGGCTGGAGACCGATTGAAGAGAAGGTCCATTTATTGATCGACCGAACCACATGGGTTCTGGACAGCTGACCACATGGAGTTGGTTCAGAGTCTTATGGTTAGGAGTCAGAAACCCTTTCAATGTTCCCAAAGTCAACCTAAGAGTCAGAGGGGATGGTCTACAGGATGGGGTGAAAAGCCATAAGTTCCCACTCAGACAGAACAGCCCATTTCCTCAGAATCAAACTTTGAAGCTCAGATTGAAAGGTAAACTATGTGTTGTTTGGAGGATACTGGATCTTGAAAGCTGCAACCTTGAATTTGGGGCTGGAGTAGCAGGAACAGCTGAATGGACAGATTTTGTGGGGAGGAAGAAGGCCCAGTTTGGTGGCCATCAGCCTAGAGCCTGAGAGACTCTCATTTCTGGTCCTGCTTTAGGCATAAAGCCATCTCCGAGACCTTGGCCTGTCCTGTCCACTCAGGCCTTGGAAAGGGGAAATCTGCTTTCAAAAAACCTTGGCAAGGAAACTGCAGGGAAGTGGGAATGGAAGATAACTCCCCAAAGTCTATTTTTCCTACTGAGCAAACTTCTCAAGATTAGGAAGAGCCCCAAATGATTTCCAGCTTCATCCAATCAATAGAATAGCAATATCACTTAGACTTATATACTGCTTTATAGTGCTATACAGCCCTCTCTAAGCGGTTGTTCAGAGAAGCATATTGCCCCCAACAATTTGGCAGCTCATTTTACCCACCTTGGAAGGATGGAAGGCTGAGTCAACCTTGAGCCTGGTGAGATTCAGTCTGCCAAATTGCAGGCAGCTGGCTGCAGCAGAAGTCATTTACAGTACTGCACTCTAACCACTGCGCTACTGAGGCTCTTAGAATAATGAAACATGGAAAAATTAGTGGAAACATTCACTCTCCTTGCTTCCAAACCACGTCTCGATAGTATTCTTTCTTATCTGCATCCTTCCAGGGCCTAAATCTCACTAGAGGAAGAGTTCCTCTGAGCAGCCTTCCCAATCTCTACAGGGGTTAGATTTATTATGCCCAAACAGTTTGGGCATAAGACTTGGAGGGCAATAGTTTGCAGAAAGCTGATGTATAGATTCTTAGGGGTGACTCAGTGGAGATCAAAACCTCTCTACATACCAATACTTTATGACTGATTTCCTGTGGCTCCCAAGGATTTAGGACCCAGGAGGTTCAATGGGTCAGAACCTCAAAAGGAGCCAGCTTCCTTTGTGCTGCCCAGAGATGCTTCCAAGCACACCCATGCTAAATGCCTTGTGCTTCTGTAACTTGGCATACACAGAAGCCTCCATTGGCTCAAAGCAAAAAAGTCATAGACCCAGCAGGGCTAGAAAAGGGGGGCTTGGGAAGAGGAGATGACTGTCTGTATACGGTGAGAGAAATGTTTCCAAAGGGCATTTCAGAGGTTGGGAAAAAAAGGTTGGTAATACAGATGTGCGTGCAAAAATGTATCAAAGTCGCCCCACTCTTCGATACACATTCCTTTTTTTAGTTCAAAAATTTAATAAAACATACAAAACAACAAAAACAAATAATGGATCAGGAAAGGAACTGAAAAGAGAAAAATAATATAATTGCACCTTCTGCCCTTTTCTCTGTTGAGAAATTGTCATCACACATTCTTGCCGTATATGGAAATTACCTCTGCTCCGTTGACCATAATAAAACCTTCCTTGGAAACGGACCCTGGCCTGAATCCATTCCTCGGAGAAATCCAGCCCAACATTTCCTTTCCACATTACTCATATCTGTGCAGAGGAACAGGGAGATTTTCTCAATGAACTGATGGGAAGCAGTAACCAGACCCTCATGGTAGACTATTTAAGGGCTCCTTGGGCCAAGTTCAATTTTTTTTACTACCAGTTCTGTGGGCGTGGCTTATTGGGTGGGTGTTGCTTGGTGGTCATGTGACTGGGTGGGTGTGGCCAACTCAATGTCACTCTTCTCAAGGGGTGCCTCACCTGGCCTCTCCCAGCCATTCCTTGTCACACCCAGCCTCAACTTAACTATAGTCCTGTAAAAATGTTGTTCAACATTTTTGACTTTATTATCTACATATTATAGATGTACTTTCATGGACCACTGAAAGGAGGAAATGGCTCACATGCTTTGCCCAAGGCAACAGACTTTTAAGGGGCTGCCAGAAAGAAGGGGGGGGGCAATGTATTTTCCAAAGCACCAGAAGGCAAACAAGAAGCAATGTGTCAACTAAAAAATACTTCTTTGGTTTTTTTAGTTGCCAGTAGAAAGGGAGTGTGGGAAAGCAGTGCATTCCTGAAATGCTTCAGATAGTTGCTAGGCAGCCCAAAGCTGTTGGCACGCAAGGATATTACTAGAGAGCATGATCGATGACTCTTGGCTGTGGATGTGTCCCATTGGAGAATCCAGGGGGTGAGGAGAAGACTAGGGTCAAGGGGGAAAGGAATGATGTATTTTAGTGTCAGCTGCACCTAGCTAACGCCAACATGGTCACTCCTAATAAATTTTTTTACTCTGAGAGATGTGGCTAGAGACTTATAATTTGAACAGGGGTGGATTTGTTGGAGCCCTGACACAATGGATGGAAACTGAACAAACAAAGAAGCAACCTAAAACTAAGGAGGAACTTCCTGACAGTGAGAACAATTAACCAGTGGAATTCTTTATCTCCAAAAGTTCTGGGTGCTTGATCACTGGAAGTTTTAAAGAAAACACTTGACAGCCATTTCTCTGAAATGGTATAGGGTTCTTAGAAAAGTTCTTTCTAAGTGTTATTTTGTTATGCTGATACTTTTCCCAGGACCTCGACTTGGTTTGGCATCCTCAGTTTTCCTGCCTGAGCAGGGGGTTGGACTAGAAGACCTCCAAAGTCCCTTTCAACTCTGTTAAACACACATGTATTTATGCTCTGGACTATAGACATTGAATGCATGTATTCTAACCCTGAAAAATACCTGGGCAAAAGAAAGGCAGTAAAATCACTCTAGGTGTAGGGACAGTATAAAATATTAATATATGATAAACAATGGAACAATTAAAAATAATAGCACAGAATTTTATCTCTCTCTCTCCCTTCCTATTTCTTTTTCTTTCTCTTTGTTTCTCTCTCTCCCTCTTTCTTTCTTGCTCTTTCTTTGCTCATTTTTTCTGTTTCTTTTTCTTTTTTTCTCTCCCTACCCTTCTTGCTCTTTTTTGCTCTTTCTTTTCTTTCTCTCTCTCACACACACACACACACACTTTTTCTCTCTTTCTTTTGCTCTTTTTATTTATTTCTTCCCTCTCTCTCTCTCTCTCTCTCTCTCTCTCACACACACACACACACACACACACACACACATACACACACACACACACTCCCTCATGACACACACACTGGTCTTGAACGAAATGATTCGGCAAGCTCCAGAGAAGCAGGTGGCAGGAGAATGAAGAAAGTTCACCAAGGTACTCCGGCGGCAGGCAGTGGGCAGCTACGGGAAGCAGCCCCAAGAGTTCCTGCCCTCCCTTTCAGGGTGCCGCCACTGCCGCTTGCTCCACCACCCATACTCGCACCCAAAACACTCGGCCTGTAGCAACAAACACTGCACCCACCACACACCCCTTGCAGCTCCCCAGGCCCCCAACGCTCATCTTGCAGCTGCACCTCCCATCTCACTCCTCACCCCAACACAGTCGTGGTGCAACGCTTCTCCTGGCCCTGCTCCCTCATACCCAGGGCAGCTGGACCAAGCCACACCCGCCACGACCAGCAACAGACCGCCTCCTCCTTCACCTCCCTTGAAGTCCTTGCCTCGCACTGCCCCACACCTTTGCCGCTCATTGGGGAGAAACCGGAGTGCAAAGCCTTTGTCCACATCACCCCTTTGACCTCGCACTCTGCCACCAATTAACTGCTGCCCCCCCCCCGAATTTCTCAATTCCCCGCAATTAACGTCTAGAAAAATCTGCGTTCTTTTCATAATGCCATCCAGCCGCAAAGGCCCCCACCAGGGCCCAATCTCCAAATCTTGCGGGGGAGGTTGGGAGGGCTGCTGAATCCCTCAGAGGAGTCTTTTTCAGGGAAGGAGCTGATCTGGAAAAGGGCTGGTAGCTTCATCTGCCCAGATGATGGTATTGGAGAGGACCAGGAGGCACCCACCCCTTTTAACTTGGGGAGATGGGAAGAGACCCTCAGATTGGGGTGGGGTCCCATGAGTCTCCTGGCCCTGTCCTGTTCCCAGTTTTCCCAGTGATGGAGAGTGGCTTCCTCTCCATCCGCACCTTTGCAGCTCCGGGCACTGGGGGATTGTCTGGATGGCCTCGCCTGACCGACCGGTCCTGCCCTCTGCCCTCACCCAACGGCTTCACCATGTGCCAGTATGAATGAAAAGAAACAGCGACAGACCCTGCCCCAGAAGAGTAGCAGCAGCAGCCACAACAGGATGAGAAACAGGAGAAAGAACTGTGAGCGGTGGCGGAGGTGCAAGAAGCCGACTCGGGCAGGGAGGAAGGAAAGTCCCAGCCCACCCGTTCTGGCTGGCAGTTCTGCTCCCCTTGCTCTTCCAGGTTCCAGCATGCCGGCCAGATCGAACATGGGGTAGTTGACCACCCCGCCAGCAAACACTGGCTTGCCCACTGCTCCTGCCGTCACCGGGGGCAAAAAACTGGCAGCAGTTCTCGCTCCTGTCTCTTGTCCTGTGCCTTCCACTGCTGCTCTTTTGGGGAGGCAGGGTGGCACATGTGAACCACTGCCAGCCTCTCATTACTATTACTATTAATCTTCTCATCACTCCTTATCACCCCTCCACTCCCACTTGTGACTGTATGACTGTAACCTTGTTGCTTGTATCCTTATGATTTATATTGACCATCTCCTAGTATGGTTTGATTGCTTATTGTACCCTATGACTATTATTAAGTGTTGTACTTTATGATTCTTGACTCTTGACAAATGTATCTTTTCTTTTGTGCACACTGAGAACATATGCACCAAAACAAACTCCTTGTGTGTCCAACCACACTTGGCCAATAAAGAATTCTAACTATGTGCTCTGTGAGATATGGTCAGGGAATGTAAACACCTTGACTCACTGGTCCAGAAATCCCTGCCTGATTCTTCCCCCTGTGACCAGTCTGGTCCAATTCAGCTTGATCTCAGAAGTTTGCTAGTGAATGTAACTCTATGGTCTGTGTGGATATTCATTGGGGACATTCCATGACTGAGCGGAGAACACAAAGTGTACCTCCGTACTCCTAGCCCAGCATTATATCCATCCTATCCTATACCCTCCCTATGCTCAGACTGAAGAAATTGGCTGTCAACTCACAAAGCATCCCTGACCTGCTCTCGTGTTGCCATAGGCAAGGGGGATGGGAAAGCGAACTTCGGAGGTACATCAAGGAGCTGGCATCTCAGTCAAATCAAGGCACATTCCAATTGGTACACTGAGGTCACCTCCACAGAAACCCACAGTAGCTGGAGGGATTGACTTTTACAACCCACAAATTTGCTTTGTTGGGGAATGTGACTGAAGACACATATTGGGGGAGGGGGAAACAGGGTCAGAGGCAAAGCCCGAATTAACTGAGGTCAGAGTTGGTTCCACCTAGTTCGTGCCGCCATGAAGCTTCTAATAAATAACTGGACTTCTTTTGAAGCTTGGTTTGAGGCTCATGATTTAATTAGGGCATCTTTTGGAACCCTGGCACTGGCCTTGGGAGATATGCAAACTCCATGACTAAAGAGGTGAGGGGAAAATGTCTCCCAAGTCGGCAGCATGTGGATCCTAGGAGACTCAGACAACTGCTGCTAATTCACAGGAGTATAAGAAGGGGGGAGAAGGTACAAAGTAGATACTATACAAGTGTTCTCATCCAAAAAGAAAGCATGACACAATTTACCAAAAACAGAACCATAAGTGCCAGATTAGGAATGCAAATTAGAATTTGGAAAAATAAGGTAAGAGAATACCTGTCTCCTCTAGACCAATTCAAATCACTGGATCTGGGCGGACTGCATCCCAGAGTTCTGAAGGAACAGAATATGAAATAAAATATGAAACAGGACAGACAAAAGTATAAATACGATGACTAGAAAGGTATTGAAACTTAGAAAAAGATATATATATATATAATTGAATTTAGAAAGGAATGAGATAATTAAAAGTAAGATTGAGAAAACTAAGGGAAGGGAAAATTATTGAGAAAATGTTAAAGTAGCAATAAGATATGGAATAGAACACAAAGATGAATATGAAATTGAATTTGTGTCTGTATGGAGAAGTGATAACCCAGGACCATACTATTCTCAAAAAAAGAAAATTTATTTATATTATGTTTTGTGAAAACCCAAATAATTTTTTTATTTAAAAAAAAGTCAAACAAAATATATCAGTTCCAATCTCTCCCATTTTAAAATCTGAATTCTTATATATCACAACACATTACCTTGCAGAACCCCCTTCCTGTTCTTCATCTAATCATTATCTCTAGCTCTCCTAACTGTGTAATTTCTTTTCATTTTGTTTGCTTTCTACATCCCCTCATTTTCTGGTCCTTTCTCTTAATCCCCCACTCTTTCCTTTATTATTTCCCTCCATTTCTTACTCCAATTTATCCTAGGTTAGGAGGATTCTAGCATCTTCTTAGGATGCTCCTAAATCCAGCAGATAAAAAAGGTTGTGCTTGGTAATATGAGCAGGGGGTTGGACTGGATGACCTCTGAGGTGCCTTCCAGCTCTATGATTCTATTGTATTCGGTTCCCTTTTATGTTCTGTTCTAATCCCTATTCTATTTTCTATTTTATGCAGTTTTGTTTTCTATTCTGCCCTATTTTCTAATCGGAAGCAGTTCCATAGGTGGAACTGAGGTAATGGAATGTGAGGCAACTGGCAGTTGGAACAGAGTTCTTTTCAGGTGGGGAGGGGGAGTAGAACTCCTTAGCACCAGAGCTTGTTAAATAATTTCTGTATAAGAAATACTAATGATCCGATGGTCATTTCAAAACATGCTTTCTTAGCAAGCATCTAGAAGCCGATAGGAACATACGTGCCATATTTTAAGTTTGTAGGCTTTATGGGGTTCTGGAGATGTTGTGATGCCGCATGAGTGGTTTTTCGTTTTTATATATAGAGATGAAAACATCTTCCAAATGCTTGGTAGAGGCTGAACAAAGCGTGTTTTTCCACCTCCTGTCACTAGATGGCGGTCAGGCCACATCTGTGCCTAGAAAGGCATCAATTCAGTAGTGCCATCTGCGCTTGAGCTTAAAAAAAGCCGGTTTAAACCATTGAGTACTGCATTGCTAGAAAGGATGGGAGGAGTGGAGAAGCTCGGGGAACTTCCTCTTCCGGATATCTCATGGAAGGAAGGTGGTGCGCAGAGAGGTTT